AGGCCAGCCTCAAACTTGTGATCCTCCTGCCTCAGCCTCTCAAGTAGCTGGGATGACAGGTGTGCGCTACCACACCTGGCTCTGAGTTACATACATTTTTTTCCCTCTTCCTATTTTAAGATTCTCAGTACCTGCCATCCGTATCCACCCTCCCCGGTATCCAGGGTCTAGACAGCTGGATGAGACAATGCCCTTGTTCATGTCTCCATTTCTTCCTTCTTTTCACTTAGCCGACCCTTAGTAAGCACTCACTGTAGGCTGGGCAACATGTTCCTTGCTGCAGGTTCTTCGTGGCAGGGAACAAGGCCAAATAAAACGATTGCAGATCCTCTCCTGCTAGCTCTCCGAAGATCTTAGGCAGGCTTTATCATCAGAGGGGGCAGTACCAGGAGGCGGGTGGAGAAACACCTGGTTTGGTGACTTTGGAGCCAGCATGTTGCCAGGAAGGAGTAGAAGCCTGGTGGGGGGAGATTAGCACAGGAGATGGGGCCCAGAGGAGAGCAAGGACTCCATTACAGGGAGCTGGGTTTACCTGAAGTGCAGCAGGAAGCCACCGAGGGTCACGAGCAGAAATGAGATGCAAAACTTTTGTTGTCAGACAGAGTCTCACCATGTAGTTCATGCTGGCCTTGACTTTACTGGGTAGCCCACACTGGTCTTCAACTCACGGTGATCCTCCTGCCTCAGCCTCCCAAGTGCTTAGGTTACAGGCATGCACTATCATGCCTGTTTTTTTGTTGGTTTGTTTGTTTGTTTTGTTGGTTTGTTGGTTTGTTTTTGATGCTAGAGACCAAAGCCAGGACCTCACAGATATTAGGCAAGGGCTGTACCACTAAGCTACATCCTCCACCCCAAAACAGCTCTTAACAAATCACCTCACATCTATTTGGCAAAAGCTGCTCTAGACCCAAAAGAAGACTTTTAAAATTCCAAAGTGCTGGGTGCGATAACACTGCAGTCTCAGTTACTCAGAAGGCTGACACAAGATCTCTCAAACCTAGAAGTTCAAGGCCAGCCTGGATATCATAGCAACACCCTGAGACCCTGTGTTAAAAGGAAAAAAAAAGTAAATAAAATAACTACGTTTTTGTTAATTTCCAAGGCAATAAAATATTTACCTCAGTTGTTCCTACTCTATGCCTGGGCCAGGCAATACTATCGACCCCAGTACTGGGTCCCTCTCAACACAGCTCCCAGTTCTTGGCACACGTGAATGGGTTAGAACTGGCATAGGAGATGGAGCCCCGGACACAAGTTTGTGAAGGGCTTGTCCTCACCGAGGGCTGGAAGGCCAGGGGCCCATCCCCAGCACCACACAAGAAAGAAGCGGGTGGAAAAGGAAAGGAAGGCACTGGCAAGAGGAGGATTTGGAAGGGCTTAGTCACTCTGAAGACTTTATGCCCACTGGCTAGCCATGGTAGAATACACAGTACCAGCACCTAGAGGCTGAGACAGGAGGGTCCCTACCAGTTCAAGGCCTGCCTAGGCTGCATAGTGAGTTCAAAGCCAGCCTGGACTACATGACAAGATATTGTCTCATAAAATAAAAAACAAGTTTTAAAAAAGACTGTAAGCACAGTTCAGGACCCGGATGTGGCTCTAAGAGTTGATTACTACCTTTACTTTGTAGCTCGGGCAGGTAGCCTCTCCAGGGCCCCAGTGTGTCCAGGTAAAAGGGCTGAGTAATAGCATCTATCTTTTGAGATCTTCCAACAGTAACCTGACTAGAAACTGGTGTCAGCTCCAGGGTGCCCTCGACCCTCCTAAAGAAAGAAACCTTTGTTCCCTCTTGTGAAATGTGAACAAATGGCCCCAAAAATCCAACTTTTATCCCACTTGAAGAACTAAACACACTTAGAAATCATTAAATTCTCTCTCTAAAAACAAAAACAACACAGCAGACCTGAGACAGGGATGCAAGGGCAAGGGTTTTTGTTTTGTTTTGTTTTGTTTGTCTGTTTGAGACAGGGTCTCGCTATGCAGTTTCAGGCTGGCCTTGAGCTCCCTTTGTAGCCCAGGCTGGTTTTGAACTTGCAATAATCCTCCTGCCTCAACCTCTCAAGTGCTGGGATTACAGGCGTGTGCCACCACGCCCGGGTACGAGCAAGGGGTTCATTGAGAGGTACTGAGACAAGAAAGGAGGCTGAGGCAGAAGAATTGAAAGTTTGAGCCCAACCTGGGCAACTTAGTGATTTAGCAAGACCCTATCTCAAAAAAAAAAAAAAAAAAACAAAAAACCTGGAGGTATCACACCAAGCAGAGGCCTTGAATTCAGTCCTCCGTGGGGGTTGGGGGAGGAGAACAACAATGAATGAACCAAAGAAAAGGAAAAAAAGAAGTGTAATTACAGCATTCTGGAGGCTGAGGCAGGAGGATCCCTGCAAATGCAAGGCCAGCCTGACCTACGCGGCCAGTGAGACTCTGTCTCAGGAAAACACCAAAAAAGGAGAAGAGAGGGAGCTGCTTCCTCTCTGCTTCCTAGGGCCGCCATAACAGTATCACAGACCACTCAGTTAAAACAACAGACATGTATTGTCCCCCAGTTCTGGGGTCAGAAGGCCACGTTCAGATTATCAGCAAAGCCTCACTCTGAAACCTGCCAGAATCCTCCTCCCACTTCCTCCTTCTGCTGCTGGCCAACAAGGACAGTTACTCCTGGACTGACTTTCTGAAACGGGCTCTCAGCACTGGCCTAACACTCCTGGGCTCCAGCAACCTCCTGCCTTCGCCTCCTGAGCGGCCGGACGACAGTTCTGTGCCACCCAGCTGGCAGTATTGCTCGGCTGCAGGCGCCCCACTCTCTGCCTCTGTTGTCACCTGCCCTTCTCCTGCACCTGCGTCTCAGTCTCTGTGTGTCCGCTCTTATTGGAGGAACACCAGAAACCTGTGTGGCGGCTCATGCCTGGAATCCCAGCTACTGAGAGGCTGAGGCAGGAGGGTGGCAAGTCTGAGCCCGGCCTGGGCAATGTAGCAAGATCCTGTCTCAAGTGCAAAAAGGGCTGGGGATGTAGCTCAGCAGCAGAGGACATAGCAAGCACCATCCCCTGGATTCCATCCCTAGCGCCAAAACCAAGTAAATGAAGACACCAGTGACACTCACTGGTGTTTACCAGTTACACCCCAGAGAGCCTCCTCACACACCAAGGTACTGGGGGATAAGACTGGCACACCTTTTGGGGGTACACAATGCAAAACTGCTGAAAACTGCACTGGCTGGGTGTGGGGGCACATGCTGTCATCCAAGCCACTCGGGAGGCTGAGGCAGGAGGATCTCATGTTTGAGGTCAGCCTGGGAAATGTAGTGAGATGGTGTCTCAAAACAAAACAAACTCCTGTGTTATCAAGGAAGTAGGTGGGGGCTGGGGATTTAGCTCAGCAGCACAGCACCTGCCTGGTAAGCACAAGGTAGTGAGTTCAATTCTCGGTCCTGGAAAAAAAAAAAAAAGTAGGTAAGTGGAGCTCCACCCCTTCAGGATCAGAACCAACTGGGCCAAAGGGGCGAGGGGACAGGGGCTCTGAAGGACCATTAGCTTGGCTTGGTTTGGGTTTTCTGAGACATAGTTTTTGTGCTTTTTCTTGTTTTGCTTTGCTTGGGACAGGGTCTCTCTATGTAGTTAAGGCTGTCCTTGAACTCATGGCGATCCTCCTGCCTCACTGCAGCCCCTGCCCCTAGTGCTGAGATGACGGGCTTGCACCACCCTGTCTGGTTTAACACGGCAAAATGGTGAGGTCGCTTGTGGAATGTGGAGCGCTGGGCACGCGGCTCCTGGGCACAGCAGCCTGAGCTTCCCAGC